AACTAATATAAAATGTTTTTTAGAGACTTTCAGCAGTGACAGAAACAGAAACAGCTAAGTGTAAATAAAAGTGTTAACACTTACAGAGGCGCTCCACTGTAATATTATATACCATAGACCCTTTCTCGTTTTCAGCTTTACACGAGTACAAACCAAAGTCACCCATAGTCTTTGGAATCAGCGTCAGTGTACTCATGCCACGCGTTAAGTTAACCCCGGCTAACAGTGGTTGACCATGTTTCAACCAGGTAAAATTTGCAGACGGATTAGCATCCACTGCACACGTTAAGGTTGTCGTGTGGTTAATCCAGGATTTAATGAGAGGATCTGTAGTTCCTGTCTTGTTAATATAAGGTTTATCTGAAATAAGAATCTATTTCAGAAACAAAAAATGGCGCAATGCTTGGACAGGGGAGGGGGGTGGGGGTGGGGGATAGACAGGTTTTCTTGATAGAGATATCCTATCTCAGCTTCTTACAAGGGTTTTTGAGTATCCCATAGTGCTTTGCTATTATTGACTACCATTTTACTTCTTTTTACTAAGATGAGAAGGAGGGTCTCAGGTATCTCTGGTAACCAAATTCTCAAGGGTCCAGTGTGACTAGATATTCATCGCATTTGCGAATATTTGAATGCACTAAGAGCTCATGGCATTATCAGGAACATCAGGAAATTTTTCAGCTGCAGGCATAAAATGACTCTACCACGTGGTTTTTAATGTTTTAAAGTTAGTTAAAGCGCAAAGGACATAATATGCCTGCTTTAATCCCCTTTCCTGTTTCAGCTGAGACATATCACTCGCCTTTCTCGCCACTCTGTCATACTGATGTAAGAACGGCAAAGCTTTCATGCACCATTCTCAAGCAAACTTCGTTTGTCGGGTAAGTTTTTCTTGGATTATGGCTGCTAAAACACTGAAAAATTCGTATCGCCTATAGGCATAGACGTTCAAAGGTTTCTAGAAGGGGAAGAAAACCAAACTACGAATGGAAAAACCGAGTAATGAATTCAGTGGCTTTCGTAACGTCGTTCAGTTTCTCGCGGCCGAGAACAGAAATTGACCTTCGGAAGATATCACGAAGAGAAGTCCCATATCTCCCCGCACCCATGTATTATTCTCTATTTATTAACTGAGTTCATAAAGTAAATCAGCCACCGAAAATAGTTTCTAAAACTGACGTTTTGAGTGTTAGCCATTCGTCAGAGTGAATGATAAAACCAAGTTATCTGGTTGAAATTTAACACCGAAAAATAATTGAGAATGCTCATACTCACAGAGAACGGCCAGTTTTATGGGACCACTCCTGTAATCACTCCCAGACACATACGCTGTACAACCGTAAGTGCGAGTTTCATCTGATTTTGTAACATTCTTGAAGATGAAATCAAACAGACCGCCATGTTGACTGATATTTCCGGCCCAGCTCAATCTAGATTTGAATGAGTTGTCGTGTTTTGGGTTTTTCTCTACTGATCCGCTTTTCCAAATGGTGATGTAATTATCCAGGATCCGGTCGTTTTTATCCGTTTCCCCCCATACGATTTTTTCGAAATCATTCCAGTCAGCCAAGTTTCCAAAACTGAAATCCCACGAAAATATGGCACTGGATCCCAAACCTGCAGACACGGTACTAGGAGGCTCCTTTGTAAATTTTGTTTCTAAAAGAGAGAGGTGTCTTTTTAGTTTCTAGCACGGACAAAGCAGCAGTTACAAGATAGTAAATTGCGAACGTTTTAAGCTATGCACGTTTTCTTTTCTCACAAATGACTTTACCTTTACGGAGACCTTATTGAAACTTATGAGAAGGAGGAGAAAGGCGCACACAAAACGATGGGGATGGGGCCGGAAGGGAACAAGGTCCTCTTTTTCGTTACCCCTCCCCTCCCCTACTTCAAACCCTCTTCCTCAAAAAGAAGATTTTATGGATTCATCTGTTTTTTTTGTTTTTTTTTTTTTTCGGACAAGTCTCTTTAAATACTGACTAGATAGACTGAAATCGTTTTAAAATACCTCGTCGAATTTATCAGAGAAAGCCAAGTACATTAAATCATATAGTTTTGTTCAACTCGAGAAACTTACGGCTGACAGTGAGTCTGAAACACAGGAAACAGAATGTAAATACTGCGGCTACTGCAACAGACGACATCACTTTCGGAATTAGAGTCTGTAAAGAAGAAATAGATAGTTTGAGAATTTATCTTGACCATTGACGATTCAAAGCAAACTTCGAAGCCTTGCTGGCTCAAAGCATTCATGCTTTGACAGCCCTTCGTGCTGTGGGTAATGAATATTGAAATTGAAATCATTTTTTTTTTTTTAACTTTTCTTCAATTATTCAATTCCGACATTGCTATGATATCTATCGAAGTTAAAAAAAAAACATTCCATCTCTCTAGACTGTCAAAATTTTGCAACAATTGCCATGGCAAGTGAGTATGAGTCAGGACACATGTCACTTGACATGCCAAGTTACTGTAAACAAGATTTTAGCAGAGTCATGGGCTCAGAATTTTACTGTCTATAGTGTAGTATCAAAATTTATAAATGGCACGTACGTTTTAAAATGAGTAATTTGCAAGTCTATTGCTCGGTTGTGAATCCAAAACTACAAGAATTTCTGTAGAACTATATCATAATTCAGACAATACTCAGTTAGACGTATATAACTTATAGACAATACTGCATGTTGAATACAACGACCTCAAGACTGGGTTGAAAAGCAAATACGTGATCTTAGATGACGAAAAACGAAGTAGCTTACCGTCTTTTAAAACAGTCTTAAACTTTGAAACCTAGTTGGTTAGTCAGGTTCAGTTTTGATTGAGTCATTTTGCACATACCTCTTCTCATATAGAGTAACAATGAGTGATCAAAGTCCGCTCTCCGAGCCTTCTCAAGTGCATGCGTACGTAAAAATTCACGGTGTCGTGCAAACAGTAAAGTGCTTCTTTGCTATCTTTAATGCAGACATTTGAAAGATAAGCTTATGCACACTTAGGATGAGATGTTCTTCCCACAAGATACCTCGTTCTTTTGTCACGTAAACTAAATAAAATTATAGCTTTTGGGTAGAGTCCAAGGTATACGTGCCATCACAAAAGAGTCTCTTCTCTCGAGATTAGCGAAGTGAAGTGTCCAGTGATGTAAGCCCATTTAAGCCCTCGAGGGCTGTC